AATTTATAATAATTTTTGAGTAAAAAATGACAATTTTTTTAAAATGAGTGTATATTACCATATTTATTATTGTAATTATTAAAAATGATAAAATAAATAGTTACAATTTAATATAAATATAATATATAAAATTTATGTATAAAAAACCTATACTGTACTTAAATAATTGAAGTTGAAAAATTTAAACACTAGTTAAATTGAAATAGATAACACCAACATTTTAACGCTAATTTATGGGACTTCAGGAGACCCCTTTTTTTTTTTATTTCAATGAAAAATAATTTTTGTATAATTTACTTTTTTTACAATATGATATATTATTAAAATAATTAATTTTTTAATTTATATAAAATTTATTATATTAAATATATTTATTTATTTAATAATATATAAAAATTATATAAAAATAAATAAAAAATTATTCATATAACACCACTTTTTACTGACAGGAGGGACAATTGGCTCCCTCTTGGCTTGCCCAAGTGACTTGTCCGAAACATCCATAAGCTGGCCGACGTGTCATAAATAGATCGGCAGAGTAATTTTTGGGTCCTTTTCTTGCTTTCACGGTGGCATTCCTAGGTTGTTCGCTAGTATTCCTAATTTTTCTTTCTTGTCCTTTTGTTCCAGTGGTTTTTTTTTTTTTTTTTACGAGTCCCCCCATTGAATTTTTACTAATTCTTTTAGATTGGCCTTTTTGTTTTTTACTTTTTCAAACATTAATTTTAAATAAAAATTTAATGAAATACATAAGTATATGTTGAGTTTGATGGGAGTGGAAAGGAAGAGATGATGGGTTTTTTTAATTAACTAAATTATAATATTTTTAAGTTTTATAATTTAATTAGTTAAAAAATTTATACATTAGTTTTTTTTTTATCAAACTAAACATATTCTAAATTATAGTTGAAAATTTCCTTTTTTTTCTATATGTAATTCTTGTTAGATATGGTTTAATTTGATTGAAAATAATCTCAATTATCATTTATATATTTGCTAAAATTTTATTTAAAATTTATAAATAAAAAATAAATTAGATGAACTAAAGTTGAGTGGAGTCAATATTTTTTTTTTATTTTTAATTTGGTTGATTTTCACATTTTAAAAAATGTGGATACCGAGTTTTTTTTTTTTTTTTAATGAGTGAATACCCAAAAATTACATTCTAAAATTACACAATTGACTTTTTCTTTTTTAACGTGATTAGCCAATTTAAGTCTAGATTAAAAGTTAAAAAAGTAGAATAAAAATAGTAAAATTTGTTTATTAGTCAAAATTAAAAAAAAATTAAGTGAAAAAAAATTTAAATTTATATGATTTTAATAAATTTTATTAAAATATTAAAATAACTTATTTTTAAAATATAAATAAAATTATTTGGCTCATAATGGGTGG